CAAATGAAATCAGTATCAACAAAATTCATCTTTGCAATCCAGACATAAGCTGCATCTGAAGTGGCATTTACATGCATTTACTAGAGCCCGACCGATATGGGTTTTTTGGGGCCGATACCGATACCGATATTAGGCAGCAAAAAAAAAAAGGCCGATACTGATATATCGGCCGATATTCTTTGTGTATATTATAGTACAGTACCAGTCAAAAGTTTGGACACTTTCCCATGATCCCTTCAGCTCGAGGAGCCCTCTCGAACGCCACCCTCGTAGCCCACCGGGATCTCTAGATCGGTCGGCGCCGGACCGCGAATTTAACCAGCGTTAACTCCCGAACCCCGGGGGCTATCCACGCTGGGGTGGTCTCATTCGAAAGAGGGCCTCGAGACGTACACTCGTTTCGCGTTCGAGAGGGTTCCTTGAGCTGAAGAGATCCCCCGAATTTGGTCTGCTGGACAAACTAAGTAATTACACCATTTCAAGCATTTTATCTGCATTATGTTCTGTAAAAAAAAATTTCATATCGGCGGCATATCGGATAATATCGGCAAAACGATATATCGGTCGGGCTCTAGTATTTACACACTTTTTAATGCAGAACATGAATGCATTTAACCTGCAGTTACAAATGCATAAATACTATTTTGATATATTAAACAAAACGTTGAATACTGATATTTGAAATTATTTAAAAAATGAAAAGATACTTTAAATGTGTAATTAAAACCACCAGTAGGTGGCAGCAAGTCACTGTTAATAAGTGAGTCATTGCGATTGAACCGAATCATTTAAACGAGCGATTCGTTCAGGAAAAAAACGGTCATGTTGCTCAAAGATGCAAAACAGCATTGTGGCTATGTTTGGAATCATTTTTGTTGGCGAAATAGTGCAAAAACAGGCAATATGGTGTCAAAAACCTAAGTCTCTTAATAAAACTTCTAGTTTATTGAACTGTTGTAAAAAAATCAATATCACATTTGTATATGGTAATTTTTGGAGAAAAAAAGGCACTCTTCGTGTGAAATTGATTAACTATATGAAGTGGTATAAATATACACATTTACTGCCCCCATTGTCTTGAATTTGTGATCATTCTGAATGTATTTTAATAGACTGAATCATGACATAAAAAGAGTGCACTGTAAATGCGCATGCGCACTAGACTTTACGTAATGTGTGCACTCTGTAGGTGTTTTGAATGTTTTTTTGCACTGTGAGAATATTGAGCAAAATAGCTCACTTGTCATGGTGTTACTTAACTATATCATGTTATGAATAAACTAAACATTTTGAATTTTTACCTCAGTGTGTTTCTGTTTTGAGTCTGAGTTTGTGTGTGCCGTTACGCTCGTTTGTTCTGATACCAGAAATATACTATCCATCATCAATTGCTGTTTACATTGAATGTAGGCTAATAAAATTAGAAGAATCATTCATCTATACTTCGCTGGTTCTTTTTTGTCACGTATGTTTTAATCAGGCTATTTGTCTGGTCAGGCAGTTCAACCTGTATTCTGCTACTGCGATTCTCTCAGTAACTACCGCAGGGAAGAAAAAAATCTTCGGTCTGTCCAATGATTGTAAACAGTCATTTAGGTCCGTCAGACTGAAGATATTTTAGCGGTAATGTGACCAAAAATATTTAAGACCCATCGAATACGAATTTAAGACATTTTAAGACTTTTTAAGG